GTTTGGTGTGTGGGGGGGGGGGGGGGGGGGGGGGGGGGGGGGGTTGCCGCTGAACATGTTATGTTTGGTGAATGTTGGAGTTGTGAAGCTGTTTCTTAGATCCAGGTAATCTCTTCATAACTGTGGAAGTTGTGCTATGCTTCGCTTGTAAATTTCGTTCTTGCATCATTTGCATATATAGTTGTTTTTATACAATTGTAACTATTGTATTTAAAATACGCCTCTGCAAACCAGCTGTCTGAGCTGCATGTCTCAAGTCTGCCTGATAGGAAGGAGGGCTGTCTGATAAGAAGCAGACTCGGCCTGCGTCTCGTCAGGCAGAGGAATCCTGCAGGGGTGATTTGCTGGTATGAAGTGCATTATTGACTCTGCATGGCCAAGTTCCATACTAGTACCACAACGACCTGAATTCTGCTGAGATGTGTGTGTGTGTGTGTGGTGTCATGATCGCTATACACAACTCCACACACACACACACACAACAACAACAACAACAACAACAACAACAACAACAACAACAACAACAACAACAACAACAACAACAAAACAACAACAGCCAAGAAGAAGAAGAACCAGACTGTTCTGTGGGACTTTGACCGACTCATCAGGAGGTTGAACCCCGACAGTCTGGCCAGGATGCATTTGACTGATGGATGTGTTTGTGTGTGTGTGTGTGTGTTGTTGTTGTTGGGGTGGTGTGTTGGGGGGATTACATGTTTTGAGACAGAAAGAGCTAAGGAGGGAGAACTATCTTTTTCAGCTGTTTCATATTGACAAGGATATAGGGTCTCTGATGGCTGAAATAGAGACGGATAATGGAGATCTACGAGAAGTCGCGAAAGCACAATATGGGGTGGAGAATGCAATCAAGGAGAAGAAGAAGCAGCAAGCAGTGTATATGAAGAAAATCCTGGATGCGGAGAGGAACATTGGGCGGAAGAAAACTGATTTAGACAAGAAGGTGAATGAAATGGGTCACAAGAAGGAAGCGTGAGGGTGTTCACCATGTACTCCATTTTTCGACTTGCCGGTGGAAAGGAACTGGACTGATGCTACCCAGAATGGATATGGAGCCAGGACCATAAGGACCTGTTTATATTAAAAAAAAAAAAAAAAAAAACAATCTTCTTCTGCCTTGATTGTGGCCTTTGCTGCTTCAGTCCTTTCCTGGGATTTTGTGGAGAGAGTGTCCTCTTCTTCCCCCCTCTCTGTTTCTTCTTCTGTATCTATACGCCTCATTCCCCACTTACCGCCCACTTTTTTTTTTTTTTTTCCTTCCTGTTTCCTGCATCTTTGGTGATTTGAGCCCAAAACTCAGTACATATCCCTTTCCCAGCAACTTCCATATCTAGACAAAAAGGTCGTAACGCCCGGTCATTGTGACTGTCTCTACATTGGAAGTTGCCCCCTAATACAGCTATAATATGGCCGTGTGTTCTATTCGGGTGAAGATGGTAATAAGACCCTCTGCATCAGACTGCATGTAAAAATATTTTTCGAGCTTCCCTTTTCTCCCTGTCCCATTCCCTCTCTCCCTCTCTCCCTCTCTCGCTCCCTCTTTCTCTCTGTCCCTCTTTCTCTCTGTCCCTCTTTCTCTCTGTCCCTCTTTCTCTCTGTCCCTCTCTCTCTCTCTCTCTCTCTCTCTCTCTCTCTCTCTCTCTCTCTCTCGGTTACGTTCAACAAGACTCCATGCGAATCCAGCACCTTTTTACACGTTCAAGATTGATTGGATGCAATCACATTCGATAGGAAGCTTTGCCGAAAATCAAAGTTGAACATACACATTTGAGTACATAACACATACAACAGGGCATGTCTACCTCCACAGGGGCAGGCAGCTTCCCTGGCCACACTGCCCTGATTACACAGTATGAAACGGAAAAAAAAATAATGCGGTATACTCCCAGGATTCCTGGCTATGGCTGCGCCCAGTCTCTCTGCAATTAGCACTCCAAGATAGCCCAACTTCTTCACCCCACTCTAGCAAACTTGCCACATGAAAATCTGTTCGTTCTGCTGCCCTGTTCGTGATTTTTGAGAAGCTGCTTTTCAGCCTACTGGTTTGCCACATGAAAATCTGTTCGTTCTGCTGCCCTGTTCGTGATTTTTGAGAAGCTGCTTTTCAGCCTACTGGTAGGCCTACCTGGTCTGGCTTTTGGACAATTCGGAATCTACTGGCCTGGTAAGGCCTACGGCAGTGCTGGCATACAGGGATTTGACCTACTGGTCCCAGGTTCGAACCCTGGCCTCAGCAAGCAGCAATAGACTCCAAAGTTCAAGAGAACACTGGGGCAGGTTGTGGGTTGAATTCCCACTGCCCCAACTCTCTCTCTCTCTCTCTCTCTCTCTCTCTCTCTCTCTCTCTCTCTCTCTCTCTCTCTCTCTCTCTCTCTCTCTCTCTCTCT